AGGACTGATCTCCTTTAGGATGGACTGGTTGGATCTCCTTGTAGTCCAAGGGACTCTTAAGACTCTTCTCCAACACCACAGTTCAAAAGCATCAATTCTTCAGTGCTCAGCTTTCTTTATAGTCCAACTCTCACATTCATACATGACCACTGGAAAAACCATAGCCTTGACTAGATGGATCTTTGTTGACAAAGTAATGTNAAATATCAATAACCTCAGATATGCAGATGATACCACCCTTATGGCAGAAAGTGAAGAAGAACTAAAGAGTCTCTTGATGAAAGTGAAAGAGGAGAGTGACAAAGTTGGCTTAAAGCTCAACATTCAGAAAACTAAGATCATGGCATCTGGTCCCATAACTTCATGGCAAATAGATGGGGAAACAGTGGAAATAGTGGCTGACTTTATTTTGGGGGAGCTCCAAAGTCACTGCCGATGGTGATTGCAGCCATGAAATTAAAAGACGCTTGCTCCTTAGAAGAAAAGTTATGACCAACCTAGACAACTTATTAAAAAACAGAGACATTACTTAGCCAACAATGGTCCATCTAGTCAAATCTATGGTTTTCCCAGTAATCATGTATGGATGTGAGAGTTGGACTATAAAGAAAGCTGAGTGCTGAAGAAATGATCCTTTTGAACTGTGGTGTTGGAGAAGACTCTTGAGAGTCCCTTGGACTGCAAGGAGATCCAATCAGTCCATCCTAAAGGAAATCAGTCCTTAATATTCATTGGAAGGACTGACGCTGAAACTGAAACTCCAGTACTTCAACCACCTGATGGGAAGAACTGACTCGTTTGAAAAGACCCTGATGCTGGGAAAGATTGAAGGCAGGAGGAGAAGGGGATGGCAGAGGATGAGATGGTTGGATGGTATCACCAACACAATGGGCATGGGTTTGAGTAACCTCCTGGAGTTGGTGATGGACAGGGAGGCCTGAGTGCTGCAGTCCATGGGGTCGCAAAAAGTTAGACACCACTGAGTGAGTGAGCTGAACTTCTTGACAGGAAAGGTATGATTAATCTAGATATTGTATTTAAAATGAAAGCATCACTTTGCTGATAAATGTCCATATAGTCCAGGCTATGGTTTTTCCAATAGTTATATGCATATGTGAGAGTTGGATTGTAGAGCAGGCTGAGTACCAAACAGTTGATTCTTTTGAACTGTATAATGGTGGAGAGAACTCTTGAGCGTCCCTTGGACAGCAAGGAGATCAAACCAATGAACCCTAAAGGAAACCAACCATAAATATTCACTGGTAGACTGATGACAAAGCTTAAGTTCCAATATTTTGGCCACCTGATGTGAGGAACTGACTCATTGGAAAAGAAGACCCTGATGCTGGGAAAGATTGAAGGCAGAAGGAGAAGGGAGCATCAGAGGATGAGATGCTTAGATAGCATCACCTACTCAATGAACGTGAATTTGAGAAAACTCCAGGAGATAGTGGAGGACAGAAGAGTCTGTTGTGCTACAGTCCATGGGTCACAAAGAGTGGGACACAAAGCAGCACATATCCTAGGCAAGAATTTTCTTCTCTACTGTCTTTGTCCATTTGGACAGGTGAAACTCTAATACTTTGGCCAGCTGATGCGAAGACCTGACTCATTTGAAAAGACCCTGATGCTGGGAAAGATTGAGGGCAGGAGGAGAAGGGGATGACAGAGGATGAGATGGTTGGATGGCATNGGAAAGATTGAGGGCAGGAGGAGAAGGGGATGACAGAGGATGAGATGGTTGGATGGCATCACCGACTCAATGGACATGGGTTTGGGTGAACTCCGGGAGTTGGTGACGGACAGGGAGGCCTGGCCTGCTGCGGTTCATGGGGTTGCAAAGAGTCGGACATGACTGAGTGACTGAACCTAACTGAACTGAATAGAAATCTCATACTCTGAGCTTACAGAAACAGAAATTTACTTCTTATAGTTCTGTATGCTGACAAGTCCATGATCAAGGTGCTGGCAAATTCAGTGTCTGGTGAGATCCTGCTTCCTGGTTCATAGACACAGCTATTTTCACCCTGTGTCCTTTCACTGGTGAAAGGACAAGAAGTCTGTCTGGGGTTTTTAATCACATTCATGCAGACTCTACCATCACAACCTAATCACCTCCCCAGAGCTCCACTTCTTAAAACCATTAAAAGGAATCTTTACATGTGAATTTGCAGGGGACACAAATATTCATTCATAACAATATTCATTTTCCCAGCAGTGCTTACGCTATCACTACCGTTCATATAGATGCCCTATTCATCCCTATGGTATCTCATTCCTGTGGTTATCTCTCTAATCTTTGACTAGGTATACATGATAAGACAAAGGCAATATGACAGTATGGTAATTGCAGAGTTTCCTGGTCTTAATCTGCACACCAGTATCCAGAAATATCTGGCTTAATAGAATGGTGTCATAGCTTGGGGCCCTCACCAGGATTTTAGGTGGAGTTTTTGGAGTTTTATAATGTAATATCATGCCATTTTCACACAGTAACAGTTTTACTTATTTCTTTCTGATCTGGTTGCCTTTTATTTCTTTCTCTTACCTAATTGCTGTGGCCAGTACTTCCCATGCTATCGTGAATAAGTGAGAAAGTTAAGCATCCTTGGCTTTATCTGATCTCAGAAGAAATGTTTTTAGCTTTCTGCTGTTCAGTGTGATGTTAGCTGTGTGTGTGTCATGTATGGTCTTTTTAGTGTTGAGGTATGTTCCCTCTATGGACTTCCTTGGTGGCTCATTGGTAAAGAATTCACATGCCAATGCAGTCTGATCTGTGGGTCGGGATGGTCCCCTGGAGAAGGAAATGGTAAACCACTCCAGTATTCTTGCTTGGGAAATCCCATGGACAGAGCAGTCTGGCAGGCTACAGTCCATGGGGTTGTAGTAGAGTCAGACATAATTTAGAGACTAAACAACAAAATGTTCCTTGTATACCCAATCCATTGAGTATCTTTCATCATAAATGGATGTTGGGTTTTCTCAAATGCTTTTTCTGCTTTAATGGCATCATCATATGATTTTTATCCTTCATTTTGTTAATGTGGTGAATCACATTGATTGATTTACAGATGTTGAATCATCCTTGCATCCTTGGAACAAATCCCACTTGATCATGGTTGTGATCCTTTTAATGTACTGTTTAGTTAAGTTTTCTAGTATTTGGTTGAGTATTTTTGCACTGATGTTCATCATGGATATTGACCTGTAATTTTCTGTACTTGTGGTGTCCTTGTCTGGATTTGGTTGTACATTTAAATTTAACATCAATTTCAGTTTATTTTTGCATATAATATGAGAAATGGGACACACTTATATTTTTTCCTGAAAGGAATGTTTATTTATACTGATAACATTTTTTAGTCATTCCATGATTTTTTAAAAATTAATTTAATTTTTAATGATATTAAGTACCATCTTTATGATAAATAAAATTTTCCTGTATATATAGATTTTCTTCCTGTCTCTGTATCTCTAGTATGTTCCCTGATATATTTTTTTATTTCATGCCAATACTAAAGGGTTTCAATAACTAAAGCTTTATTGTATTATTTTCTATATTGTTAAATAAGTCCTCATTCATCAAATAAGGGGCTGTTTTTACAAAATTGCTCTTTCAGATACATAGATAATTATAGGTTATAATAAAATATTTTGACTTGTAACAGTTGGATTTGTGTGTCAAATGAGAGTAGTTGCATGGTAATAATTGGAACCAATGCATAAATATAGTTAGAATACATAGGTGGGTTCAAATGTAAAAAGAAAGATTTCCAAAAGATAAAAAGCTGTGATTTTATAAATACTTTAAGAGAGAGAAAAATAGAAATTTTATGAATATTATAATCAACAAGGAAACAGAGTCCAGTGATAATCTGGAGTTGAAACTCCCTGGGCATAACATATCCACATGTATATATCCTTACTGAATTATGGGTATCAAATTTGTAACCCTGTGTCATTGCAAGTTGGCGTTTGTATCCCTGAATAATGTAGCAATGGGTAGGAAGTTGTCCCATCAATGAATAAATTGGGAATATTCTCCATACTCTATGAAAGTCGAGGCCTATATGTAGGCTACTCACCAGGTTCTGTCGGCAGCAGATCTTGCTGACATTAGAGTACCACCAAAACTAGTTCCTGTGGATGTGGACTTTTCTCCACAACAGCTGGTTGGACAGCATCTTAAATGTGTGTAGAACTGAAGATAATGGCAGCGATGTGGTAATCAGCTTCCCCAACTCTCCTCCTTAAATGATGTAAAATAATGTCACATGAAAATCCCCCCCCAAAATCATGGCCTGAGCATTATTGGAAACAAAGAATGTTGAAACTACAAGGCAACTGTGACTGAAAAGGGGGAAAAAAATCAACAAAATCCCGGCAGAGGACCCTTCACATTTCCATCTTACTTGGCCCACTGCAAAGCTTTGTGATTTGCAAAGATAGACCAAGAAAAACCACAGGGGAGATAGAAGACAAAGGCTATCAAAGCGTGATGAGTTAGGATCACTAAAAGGCTATAAAACATGCTCAATCTGAGAGTTCAGAGAAGGGACAATAAGAAAAAGATTACCAAGGAATGGTAATGAGTGAGATACCCAAATAAGGTGTTAGTTGTGCAATTTAAAGGGCCAAGCTTGTTCTAAAGAATTTGGCACATGATTTAAAGGGAGGTAAGAATGATTTAAAAAAATAGATGAGATTTAGAGTGATAGTCTTCTAAATGTGTAACTTCTGTTGGAGAAAGAAGTTTAAAAGGGGCAAAGAATTACTGTTCACCACCTGAGCAGACAGGGGAAAAGTGGAGAAAGGAAAAAATTTAGCATCCTACATGACAGAATAGAACCACATAATTGGAGAACTCACAACCACTCAATCTCAGCAAAACAAAACAATAATAAAGACAAATTAACAGAAAATGCTCTTTCTCTCTCTGTTTAATTGTGACTTTGTAATAAACTATGCAAAATTGAAAATTTTCATTTTCTCTATTAAAGTGTTGGAGACAGTGATGATAAAGAACGTTGGCGGCAGACTTGGTGGAGTTATTTTGTTATTATTGCAGTTATTGCATGGTCTACATTAATACCATTTTCATGCTTTCCACAGAGTTTACGAGGTGACTATAAAAATATAATTCATTAAATTAAAAGAGAGTATATTCCTCACCCCTACCCTGATCCCCTATTCTCAGAATATGACTGAATTTCATTTCTTTCTGTGTACATTTCTTTGTGTGATGGACAGTGACATGTGTTAGTATTATTTGAACAAATAAAGCATGCCACCAAAGTAATTATTTTACTTATGTACCAGACTGTCATTAGTACATATTTTTGTTTTTTTTTTTGTCATTCCTGTCTAAAAATGCTTCATACTATCTAAAATTTTCTCAACGAAAGAAGCATATTTAATCCTATTTACCTATCATGATTTATATTATAAGGTAAAGTAATAATTATTAAAAGTCTTTGGGAAACACTGGAATATACATGTAACATTAGAGAAATCAAATAGTTTCCTGATGGTAGGGCATTTAATTGGTACAAAATATTTTTAGTAATACCAAATTTGTGATTTTATATTTTAGGGCTATGATGTCAAATACTGTGGTCACTATATGCAGCTATTTACATTTTAATTTAAATTAAAAATCCATTTACTCAATCATAGGAGCTACATTTTAAAATATTTAATAGCCACATCATAGCTAATGGCTACGGTATTAGAGATATTGGAGAGTACAGATATGGGAAATTTTCCTTATCACAAAGTTCTTTAGGACAGTACTGTTTTAGAAGAGCATGTCTTTTAGTTTATTAGATTGACTTTGAAGGTGAAAGTGAAGTCGCTCAGTTGTGTCCTACTCTTTGGGACCCCATGGACTGTAGCCCACCAGGCTCCTCAGTCCATGGAATTTTCCAGGCAAGAGTACTGGAGTGGGTTGCCATTTCCTTCTCCAGGGGATCTTCCCAAACCAGGGATTGACTTGGGTCTCCCACATTGCAGGCAGACGCTTTACCGTCTGAGCCACCAGGGGCCACCAGCTTGACTTTAACTTGTTCAAAAATAATTCATTTACCATTTCAGGACAAATTGGGTATATGTTGGGATGTGTATGAATGCTTATTATATGTGTGTTAGTTATTTGAACATGTTATAAGATTCTTCTCCTTGTTAATGTATAGGCACAGCAAGGATAAAAGCTGGGAAACATAAACAGCCTCCTGTTTTGGACAGAGATCAAACAAAAGATCAGGAATTTGGACCTAGTATCAAGGACTTATTTGCTACTTTTGGGGTAAAGTATTTTACATGAACAAGCAAATTAAATTGACATGTATAATATTTTTGTTGTGGATTTAAGAAAACTGTAACGTGTTCAACTTGAATCTGAATGGAACTTTTGAAGTCTTAATTAATTAGCCTACTTATTTCATAGATAATGGAAAATAGGACCCATTTCACCTATGTGGCATCACTACGAACTTGATTAGTGTCAAAGACTGATACCAAGTATTTTTCCTTCTTCTATTGCTTTTAACTTTTATATTATAATGAATTGATTTTTTCTCTATATAAATAAATAAGCCATTTAATAAGATGACAGAGGTATTAGCATTATCTTTTTATTATATTTAAATAACTTAGAAAAGAACTTTAGAAGTTAACAAATACTCTCACAAACAACTTTTTTTTTTTTCATTTAGAAATGTTTATTTCAGAATGGCCTATAGGACCTTACCCAGGCAAAGTTCCTGTCAGCCCTTCTCATGGGTCATGACTGAATTTTGCTTTTATGAACCTACAAGTCAAAGCAACAAAACTAACAAACATGTATTCAATTTGCTAATATTTTTTGAGGATTTATGCATCTATATTCATCAGAAATTTTGACCCTTAGTTTTATTTTTATGTGCTTGTCTTTATCTGATTTTGGTTTGAGGGTAATGGTGACCTTATTGAATGAATTAGAGAGTGTTCCCTCCTATTAAAATTTTTTGAGATCACTTGAGAAGGATAAATATTAGCTCTTATCTATATGCTTGGTAGAATTCCCCTATGAAGTTGCCCAGTCCTGGACTTGTTTGCTGGGAATTTTTTCTTACAAATTCAATTTCACTACTAGTGATGGATCTGTTCAGATTGTTTATTTCTTCTTTAGATTCAGTTTTGGAAGATTGTATGTTTCTAGAAATTTATCCATTTGTTCTAGATTGTCCATTTGTTGGCCTTTAACTATTTGCTGTATTCTCTTATAATTTTTATATCTCTGTGATATCAGTTGTAATTTTTCCTCTTTGATTTCTTATTTTGTTTATTTGTATCCTCTTTTTTCCTTAATGAACCTAGCTTAAGACTTATCTTTAAAAAAAACAGCTCTTGATTTTGTTGATATTTTCTATTCAGATGGTAAGTTAAGTTGTTTATTTTTGAGATTTGTTTCTTCAAGTAGGTCTGTATTGCTATGAACTTCCCTCTTTGAACTGCTTTTGTTGCATCCCATAGATTTGGGAATTTGTCTTTTTAATTTTCATTTTTCTCTGTATCTTTTCTGTTTTCCTCTTTGATTTCTTCACTGGCCCATTGATTTTCTAGTAGCATGTTATTCTGTCTCCACCTTTGTGCTTTATCCATTTTTTTTTTTTTTTTTTTGCTATAACTGATTTCCAGTTACCTACCACTGTGGTTAGAAAAAGTGCTCAATATAGTTTCTGTCCTCTTAAATTTGTTGAGACTTACTTTGTGGCCTATGTATGATCTGACCTGGAGAATACTCTATGTGCACTTGAAAGAATGTATGTCTGCTGTTTGGGGATGGAATGTTCTATGGATGTCTATGGATGTTCTATGTTAAGCTAAGTAGTCTAATGTGTCATGTAAGACCACCATTTCCATATTGATTTTATGTCTGGATGGTGTATCAGTTGATACAAATGGGGTATTAATGTCCCCTACTATTTTTGTACTCTTGTTAATTTTTCCTTTTATGTTTGTTAGTGTTTGCTTTGTATATTTAGGTGCTTATATATTAGGTGCACATGTTAATGAATGTTATGCCATCTTCTTAACATTGATTTCTTTGTCATTATATAATGCTTTTGTTTGTTCTTATAGACTTTGTTTTAGTGTCTGTTTTGTATGATATGAGTATTGTAACCCCAGCTTTCTTTTCATTTCCATGAACTCTCTTTTTACATTCCCCTCACTTTCAGTTTGTGTGTGTGTCTTTAGCTCCGAAGTGTTCTTCTAAGCAGTACGTGGATAGATCTTGTTTTTTCTACCTAATCAGCCAACATTGGTCTTTTGACTGGAGCATTTTCCCAATGACATGTAAAATTGTTACTGATAGGTATGTACTCGTTGCCGCTTCATTACTTTTTCTGATTGTTTTTATTATTTTATTATTATTATTTTTTCATTTATTTTTATTAGTTGGAAGCTAATTACTTTACAATATTGTAGTGGTTTTTGTCATACATTGACATGAATCAGCCATGGATTTACATGTATTCCCCATCCAGATCCCCCCACCCACCTCCCTGTCCACCTGATTTCTCTGGGTCTTCCCAGTGCACCAGGCCCAAGCACTTGTCTCATGCATCCAGCCTGGGCTGGTGATCTGTTTCACCCTAGATAATATACATGTTTCAATGCTGTTCTCTCGAAACATCCCACCCTCGCCTTCTCCCATAGAGTCCAAAATTCTTTTCTGTACATCTGTGTCTCTTTTTCTGTTTTGCATATAGGGTTATCATTACCATCTTTCTAAATTCCATATATATGC